AGGATGTCTTCAGTTACAGCGACATTCACCGACGTAGAATGGATACCTCAATTTTACACAATAGTGCTCCTATCCATCGCTCTAAAAGGTATGAACCTGATAACGCCTGCAATCGTAATCTAACCCTTTAGGCAATACCCAGCCTCGCCGCATGAGGCCTCCGAATTATTTTTATTCCTGCCGACAGTCCCGATCTTAATCCTACCAAAAGAAAGTGTCCCAAGACAAAGAAAAATCTCTCAGTGCAAAAAAGCTTGTGCTAGATAATCATCTCGAACAATCTATCATAGACATAACCTGGCTATCTCCATGTCTGAGAGATTTCCAGCTGTGTTAAATGCAGGCAGACAGTCAACAAAGAACTTATTATTTTGCAAATATTAATTTACAAACCCAACTATGGCTTCTCTCTAGGAACAGTCTTTTGTCCACTGCTCTGTGACTGAGGAACACGGCGTGGGCGAATCTGGCGTTATAGGGATTCTCTTGTGAAACTCATGGCATTTCATGAGTTATAACATCTAATGTATGTGGGGTTCATACTCCCGTGTCCGGCCGTGTTTGCATACTTACCAAACCGCCAAATGGCAAGGCCAATTCCCTGCTAGTTTCGCGAGTTTCCAACGTCCCCCGGCCTAGTGTATATCCGTTCGTGTGCGTGCGGGTAATAGGGCATAAACTCACGGAACGATATGTGCTTAAAGCAGCTCAATATGTGAAGCTCGCACGTATTGGCTAACGTGCAGTTGCCATCTGCAGTATGCGCTGGTGAAGGGTCAGAAACAAATGCTGCCGGTCTTCTTTAGGGCCGCAGTTGTTTCCTGGAGACAGTTTGATGGGACACAACAGCTAACACTGAATGTCTCCAGCATGAAACTGGAGATGTTCCAAATCGACCATTGTAGGGCTTTTTCAGTACCCCAAAAATTAATGCGCGTACTTATGGTAAATTCTTTACGCCTATCTGTTATTTTTTTGCTCATATATGTTCTTTTAGCCACCTACATCTGACTAACAGACTGCGCGAATTCGGCAAGCTGAAAGAGCCGCAGATAATTTTGTGCAAAAAAGGAATGCAACTGTCAACCTCCCCGATGTTGTGACGGGGTTCCGAGCTATCGCGGCAGAGTTCGAGGGCTGTTTACACTAACGCAGCTATCTGTAAACCGTTCAGGACTTCGAGGCTGCATGCCCTTACACGGGACGGGGCGGACACCGATCCGATTGGATCATTGAGTCAAACAGGCTCCATCCGCTGGTGGTACGAATCGCGTGGTAAAATGCCAACCCGGTTGCTGTGCGTTGCCACATACAGACTGCTGTTCAAGGTAATGATGTTGAGGTAACGCTGGCCCAACGGTGTGATCTCGCGTTCAAACCATCCACTGTGCCTGTCTTGTTTCAGGTCCTGTTCCGGTCATTATTGGCTTAGAAGGGCGTAAAGGAGGCTGAAACAGCTGCAGTCTCAGTCTTCCCGTCTTTTTGGCCCAACTCTGATTACAGGGGATTTTTAATTTAAAAAAACACTACTGATGCGGGCTTTCTTTCAAGTCGAGTAAAGGGGCCTCTTCTTCACTACCAGTCATCCGCGTCTTGTGGTAAACTGGCCTTGCAAGAACAAAGTCCTGTGAAGGCAGACTTAGAAATAAAAAAGTTATCGAAGAGTGGCAAGGCGGGCACACCGATCGCGTTACGGAGCTCACTCGTCCAAATAACATCGCCGACAAAGACATGGGCGACTGAATGACCATTTCTAGCTTATTAGCCGTCCTCAGCCAGTCATACCTGACCCCGAGGTATGCAATCCCCGGGACTATAACGCGCGACCTGTTGGTTGGAAGTCCAACACCCTAACCACAGCGCCACGGGCTTGTTGTCATGTCGGTTGCGATCAGGTATATTAGCAATGGTAAAGGCGGGCGCTAACCGATCGCGTTAAGGAATTTCACTCGTCCCGTTGTGTCTTGGGGCTCGATCTAGAGCTCTGAAGACTGCCGTACAGTGATTATTAGTATAGTAGTTGAGCTTCTAGCCCGCAGAAAGCTGGTTCGGGCATCAGGGCTTGCGAAACCTGAGATTGGAAATGACTGGCTGATGATGGTTAATATGCCAGAAATAGCCCTTCCAGTCTCCCTTGTCGGTAATGATCGGGTGAAGGACCCCAAGCATCTATGGCATGCAAAGGATACCTGCTATACTTATTTAAGTGGGTTTTATTCTAACACGCTTATTTCGGTTTCGTGTTTCATCGTACAGGGTTGGGTCGTCCGTTGTAGACGGTCTCGTGCATTATCTACAATGACCTCAGCTCAAAGATTTGAGAAGCGATTGTTGTAGACGGTCTGATGAGGTCCTGCTTAATTTCGGTTGCTATATGTCAATGCATTAAAAGTCTTCCGCCAAAAAACGAATTGACCAATTGTCTATGCTTATTTTACCATTCCTCTATGCATGCATAGCCCCGGCCCGTAAAACCTCTATTACCACCTCCCCCCTAAGACAGGCACTTTTGGTCGGTCGTGTGTCTGGGGTCATTCATCCGATCGTTACCTCCTTGTCTTTGCGGGTAAAGCTATTATCAAAGAGTACAATCGATAAGATGGACAGGAGCGACCATCTATAGTTTACTTGTCGTTGCCGTCGTCGTTGTCATCAGTCAGTTATAGCCGAAGTCTGGGACAGACCCGAAGTCTCGGCCTGGCCTCATTTGGGAATTAAGCCAACAAGCTATGAAATCGCGTTCAGCCAGGTCTGATCCGGAATGCTCAGCATCACATGGGAGTGGCTGGTAGGAGGATTATTTATTTGAACTACCAGTTCATATTGACCCAACTGTGAAAAACTCGGCGCCTGGGTGGGATTCGGACCCACGCAGTAAGGGGTAGGCTTTAGTACAGCCAACGCTCTAACCATTTGACCTACGAGGCCCCGCCGAACGACGCGAGTTTAATCAAATTTGGGTCAGGTTACCCGCCCAACCTACTCGCGTCGTCCGGCGGGGCCTCGTAGCTCAAGTGGTTAGAGCGTTGGCTGTACTAAAGCCTTCCCCTTACTGTGTGGGTCCGAATCCCACCCAGGCGCCGAGTTTTTCACAGTTGGGTCAACATGAACTGGAAGTTCAAATAAATAATCCTCCTACCAGCCACTACCATGTGACCCTGTGCATTCCGGATCTTACCTGGCTGAACGCGATTTCGTAGCTGTTGGCTTAATTGCCACGTCTATAAAAGTGGTTCAGTAGGCGGACGTTTTAGCACATTTCATTACGTCTTCTGCGTCCACGTTCGTTTCCTTCAAGTAATTTTAGTTTTACTCAAATTTAGAGCTTCGTTATTTTATTGATCTTGATGGGAAAAATACTGCGGTCGCTTGCGAAGCATTCTCGGCAAAATAGAACGCCTTCCCAAAGTGTTTCCTATGTGACCTATAAATAATGAGGTTACTTCAAATACTGCTGCTGCGTATGCAGTGCTTCGACAGCACCAGTCACACCACTTCCAAACATTCTACTCCACTCAGGTATTCGTTATTGTGACAAATTCAGCGGCGTACAACATGCCCATCTTGCAGTGAATATCACTGCTCTCTACTTTCCAGTAAGCAAACAACAGCGAATCGCAGGATGAAGTTCATCCTCTACGAACTACACTTATTATCTGCGGTAGAGGGCGCTGGCCGATCACATTACGGGAATACTCGTCCCATTGTGCCTTGGGGCTCGATTAAGACTTCCGCAGACAGCCGTACAACAACTAGTAGTAGTTGGACTTATCAACGGAAGGCGAGCTTGACCTTCAGGGGTCGCAGAACCTGTGATTGTGTATAGCTGGTTGACGATGGCTAATAAGCCAGAAATGGCCATCCCAGTCTCTCTTGTCCTTGTCCATTGTATGGACATGCTTGACAAATAATCGCAAACCAACATTTTTTCCTGCATTGTACATGGCCCTTTAAATACTCTAAGTTGATTGGTAATTGTAGAAACCAGACTTTTAAATACTGCTAAAATATGGAGGTGAAGTATGGCAACAGATTTCTCTAAAGGCGATGAGTGAGGACAGAAAAGCAAAAAAACGGGGAAATAACGGGAAATGAGCGAAGCAGATGCGTTCGAACGTTCTTTACTTCGCAGTCGTCGCCAACAAACGCTACGTTTTCTAAAAACACGATCTGCCAGACGTGGATGCAATGTCGATTTGTCGTCCACGCCACGATTCATAAAACGCCCAACGCGGTCACCCAGAAGGTCGTTTCACTACCGTTCCAACAGCTAATATTTTATGTAAAAAGTGGCTAGATAAAATACAGATTTTATAGGAAATTATGATCCACTGAATGTAACTACTTAAGGTCAGGGAATATTTCAGCTTGAAAGAAATTTACAAGCTCAGTAACCTCTTGAATCTAGCTCAAAACGCATGTATTCACAAATCCTCTGGTTGCTTATGGCAACTTAATAAGAACATTAATTATCCTGACTTTACTCTAGTACAGTATGAGGTTGGGAAGGGTACTCCAAGTAGAAAAAGATCCGGATCTGTGCAAACGCTTTAAAAGCACAGAAATGTCAGGTCATATTTCGGAGGACAACTAACGCGCTATTTTGCCGATCGAAGTACCCTTTTGTTGAAAAAAAGGGGGGAGAGATTGGAATGGTCATTTTCGACCTATGGGGAAATTTCCAAACCCACATGGCCTGAAAACAAGCCATATGATGTTTGTGTTAACCATCTTTGACCGTCCCCCTATTCCCCGAAGTGAAGCATTTAAATGTCCTAGTCTTTGAGTAGACATGAGATTCTTCCAGTACTGACCAAGTCCAGCGAATTTTAGGGACCCTTGCAAGCGATTGTTATGGAGGCTACTTCAACTCTGTTGATGTTGTTAAAATCATCTTTCGTAGACAAAAAGGACAGCGATATTGTTGATTAGTTCTAAGTTTCCTTAAAGATTATGCCATCCACATCGATAGGTACTGATGGCCACTGGTGTAGGTTTCTTTAAGAGGCATCAGGGAGAGTGATAAAGATTACTACGACACTCACCTTGCAGGCCTCGCAGACGTAGGCGTTGCAATGGAAGCCAGCAGAAACATCGCCACAAATGTCACAAGGCGTCTTCTCCTTCATGCTGGTCACATCGTTGACCTTGGTCCGCGACCTTGAGCCACTGCTGGAGGAGGGGAGGGAAAGCCCTCGCGGCTGTCCGTAGCTCCTGAAATCGCCATCTTTCGAGCCGGCTTGACGAAGTTGCGCCGAACTGGGTACGAGATGCATCATTGTCCCCAGCATTTGTCGATAGCCCTCTGGATCGAAACACGCGCCCTGAGCTCCTAACTTCTGCGGCAGATCATCCAGAGGTAGTGCTAGGGGTGGTGGCGGCGGTGGTCCTGTAGTTGGCGGGAGCGCCGCCGCCGCGTACTCATCTCCGCCCTGATAGGAAGAGGAGGAGGGGATGTGCAACCGTCCGGTAGTTTCCCCGGCTGACACGTTGGCGTAGACTTGAAATAGGGCCGCCGGTGGGACCCCGACGCCAATCTCGGACTTGCCGGAGGAGCGATTCACATTCGTTTCTCCGACTCCCACGTAGTTGAGTCCCCCACTGCTATCACCGGAAGTCGCGTTCTGTCCAGCGGGATAGGCGTAGTAGTGATCACTGATGGAGCTCGACTGCTGATGGTGCTGCTGACTTAGATGTATCCCAGTAGCCGCCGCCGACGCCGTAGGCGAGGTAAGGTAATTGGGCAGGTTTTGGGTAGGGGGTAGCATTCGTGGAGACTGGGTGAAATGGTCCTCCAGGCCAGGGTGTCCAAACTCCTGTGAATCGTAGTTTGAGGTTGCAGGGGTTTGTCCTACGTGCAGAGGCATCTCCTCCCCCTTGGGAGTCTGTGACGCAGGGTAGCAGGAGGCATCCGCGGCAGCGGTGGCGGTGGTATCCTTTGGGGTGAGGCGTCGGTCCTCGAAGGCCTGATGACAGTCCGATGCCATTTGATGACCTGCCAGGCTGTAGATAGGGACTAAATGCAGTGAGTATGGTTGGTTCTGATAACGTGCTGACGTTGGCGGGCGCGATGACTGCACTAACAACTGTGTTTGAGGCGCTGGAGGAGATGAACGTTTGGAAAAATGTTGCATCATCAGGTTGCAGAGTTCAGATCCAGCTGCACGGACCTAAGACAGGAATATGCTTCCTTCCTCATCTTCAAAATAGTATAGACATACGCACGTAATGCACAAAATGATAGGTTTTTACTCGGATGCAGACCAGTTAACAGGCATCGTCAAAATAAAATCGACCAGTTTGGAACTCAAACCCAGGCCCTCTCGTGGACAAGTCAATGCACTATCCGCCATGCCACGTGGCTTGGCCAGTGTTGGAAGCTTTGTCACACTGTCTTTTGTGGAAACCAACTGCTACTACTACTATTATTACCTCCTTAGAACAGAAACAAATATAAAGAGGTATTGCAGACTTGTAGTACACATTCCGAGATGATGGGATGAAAAATCGTGAATTTTTTCAAGCGGACCAAGTTAATAAGAGTTGGATGGAATTATCGCACTAGAACGTTTTGGGGCACAGAGGCTGTATAAACGAAGAATATGTTCGTGCGGGGAGTGGACAC